TTTGGCGCGAGACGCATCTACCTAGAATAAGACTACATTTTTTAACTGTTTGAGAAAAAATCTGGCGAAATTAATGAAGAAAATCTAAACTTCGGCGGCAAAAAAAAACCTAAACTTAAAAAAAACCTAAAGAAAAACTAAACTTCACTTGCTTTTCTGGGGCCGATGCCCTCCATCGTTTTCTCAACCGAAAACCGCTTAAGACGTGAAGGTGGGGGACTCACAATATTACATGCTAAAAAAAACAACACATTTCCTCTTCCTGTCCCTTCTTTCCTTATAAATCTTAATTTGCCAGCCGTACAATTGAAGAAGTAAAGTGAAAAATGAACAGGTAAATGTTAAACTCTCAAAAACTCTCAATTTAATTTTTAGCTGCTACATTTCACATTAACATTTCTGTATTTTACATCAAAGATATCATCGAAGTTTTTATTTTTTTTGAAAAATTTCTTTTTTTAAAAAATTTATAGCAAAAAAATTCGCTATTGGAAGTAAAACTTAATTTTTGACATACCTGACGATTCGCTTTTCGTTTATGCGATGCTGTACTCCTTCGAATATCGCTCACAAGCATTTCGCGCATTCGTTGTGGATTATCTTTTAGTGCTTCCACAACAGCACTGATATACGCAACACGAGTTTCTTCATCGGTGTGCACCCAGTCCGTGAGTTCCTCACCACAGGGTGGTTCTATCAGATATTCGGTTCGAATAGCTGTAAAAACTGCCTGAAAAAAAAAATCGAAAAAAATTTCACTATGGCAGAAATGCTTATCGTTTGTACTAAAAACAAACTGAACTGTGGGGACACATACACACATATACACAGAAACACACATACACACACATACACATACATACACATACACACATAAACATGCACAGAAACACACATACACATACATACACACACATAAACATATACATAGAAACACACATACACACACATACACACATACACATACACAGAAACACACATACACACATACACATACATACACACACATAAACCCATACACATACACACATACACATACACAGAAAGACACATACACATACATACACACATACACAGAAACACACATACACACACTTACACATAAATACACATACACACACATGCACACACAAATACACACAGACAACCCTGTGACAATATGCGTTTTGTGCAGCTCTTGAACAGCACAAAACGTATAATAACGAACAATTGGAGGACTACACGATCGAAAGACTCATTTAAACAGCAAAATGGGATCAAAAAGGTAAAATGGATTCGCGAAGAAGCAGAAGAATAATGCCATTTGCTGCACCAAAAAAAGAACGAACATAATAAAAACGCGGTTGTTTGAAGCACAAAAATCCGAAAACTTTAGGCTAAAAAATTCAGAACATTGCAAAATTTAAAAAAAAAATAATTGGCCAACGCATGAGCTGTCTGCGCAGAGATGCGTTTTTTGCATAGTTCCCCATAGTTTTTGTCGCTACCAGCACCCGTTTTTTTGGCAAATGCTTCCAGCTAAACAAATTAAGACTGACCGCCAGAACTATCAGGAAACGTCCCGTAAAATTCCAACTTCTAGCTTTTCTGGTTCCCGAGTTAGCATCTTACCTGTAAAAAACTTTGGCGAGCTTTTACGTGGGAGCGTGCGGGTAATGGCGCCTGTTTTGGGGATTGGGGCCTGTACTTGCATGTAGATTAAGTTCCCGAAGTGTCAGCTCTGTAACTTTTGTAGGTCTTGAGATGAAAGACCATGACAGACGCACACACGGACACACAGACACATAGACAACCCCTCGTCAATATGTGTTTTCTGCATTGCATAGCCGCAAAAAAACGCATGAAAACTGCGATTTCGTTATTATACCATTAAATTCTAGTTATCCCTCATTCAGACCAATAGACTAATGAAAGTACCTTGACCGCCGCAGCTGGATCATCAGCAGCACAGAGTGAAATGTAATCAATCAAATCAGGGCGAAATTTGCCCACCAATGCAACCAGCGCACGTCCATCGTTCCAGCTAAAATTTGCATCGATATGGATCCAAATACATCGATCTTCGAGTGCAAAAAACAATTTTTTTTCGAAAAATACCAATTTTATCACGAAAAAAAATTTAATTTTTAATTTTTCGCATTAAATTGAAGGCAAAAATGTTTTTTGTGTTTTTGAAAATACAAGTTTCTTTTTAATTTTATACTGATTTTTAAAAAGAACAAAAAATAAAAAAGCGAAAATACAAATAAAAAAGTTTAAAAAACAAAAAGCTGAAATACAAGGAAATACAAGTTTTCTTTCTTATTCCAACTTTACCTCAAAATCGCCCTTTGTTCTTTTTTCATTTTTTAAAAATCAGCGTAAAATCAGAAAAAATTTATATTTCGAAAAACTTAAAAAAAATTTTTTTTGCCCTAAATTTCTACTTGTTATTACAGTCTTTTCATTTTTCATTTACTCTTAACCGCGCTTTTCTTATTTTTGTAACATATGGACATAAAAAAAGGTGGAGAAATCAACACCTACTTTTCGCAAAAATTGAAAATCGGAAGATGAAATACACGCAGTTGCTGCTGACAAAATCTCCATAGTCGATATCTGAAAAGCAATACAGTAGATCAACAACTGGCCAACGCACGGGCTGCCCGTGCGAAGATGCGTTTTTTGCGTAGTTTCCCGCAGTTTCTGTCGCTACCGGCATCGGTTTTTTCGACAAATGGTTCTAGCTGAACAAATTAAGACTGGCCGCCAGAACTAGCAGGAAACAGCTCCTTAAAATTTCAGCTTTCTAGCTTTCCTGGCTCCTGAGTTATCACCTACTTAGACGGGGAACATTCCCCTAAGATTTCAGCGTTCTAGCTTCTCAGATCCCCGAGTTATGAGCTACCTCAAAAAAATCTTGGCGGGCCCGTACGCGGGTACCACGCTTACCTGAGGGATGGGTTTCAGTGCACTAACACTCAGTTGGACGAGGAACATCCCCCTAAGATTTCAGCGTTCTAGCTTCTCAAATCCCCGAGCTATGAACTTACCCGAAAAAAAATTTGGCGGGCCCGCACGCGGGTGATGACGCCAATTTTGGGGATTGGAGCCGGCATGTTCATGTAGATTAAGTTCCCGAAATTTTAGCCCTGCACGTTTTATAGGTTTTGAGATGAAAGTGCGTGACAGACGCACACACAGACACACAGACGTACAGGTACACAGACAATCCCTCGTCAATATGCGTTTTTGCATTGCATGGCTGCAAAAAAACGCATAAAAAACTGTTGTTATCAAATTGTTCTGAAATTACACCAAGTGCAAAAGTGAGCAATTTTCTTTCACGATGCATTCTCGACTCAGTTAGGGGCGAGTTTCAGCACCACTGTGTGTCTCTGCTGAACTATGTATGCATCATTGTCTCCGGGCGCTCGGCGGCATCGAACTCACTTCGGCCTGGTGGTCGGGCCCAAGTTTGCCACTGAGCCAAATGCACAGCACAGAAACACCCAACCCTCTTTTGCTAAACTTTCCACGGCTCGAATCGTCCCTTTCAAAGGCGAGAGCTAAACGCCAGAATTAAAGAGAACCCACATCCAAGCGGAGCAAGGCAGACAATTTCTTGATCCATGTTAGTCCAGATTTTTTTATTCCTTTTTTCCTCTTTTTTTTCATGTTTTTTTTATCCTATCTCATCACGCGCTCATGCTATATTCATTCAAACATGGTGGTTAGAGGGCTGTACTCATGATTCCCGCCCCTAATCACGTCTCATGCTGTCTGTGTTT